AGAACTTAAAGTGCTTTAAATTCCCTATAAAATGTTTTTTTTGAGTAAATTTATAACTTTAAAATTACAAAAGTTCTATAATGTATATAAATTTTTTTTTTGATATAAATTTAATAAAAAAATATGAAGAATAAAATTCAATAAAATTAAAAAAAAAATTATTATATCATCATACTCACATATAATTATTAGGAAATTTTTATGAGGGGTAGGTCTTCCATAAGGGTTTTTTGGGTGGCTGAAAAGTCATAGATCATTGTAAAAACTAATAAAAAGTTTATAATTCAACATATGCATACCATCAAAACATCTCAAGCTTTCAATAATATTTTTTTGTTTATTTTATTATAAAGGATGCTTTTTAAAGGTTACAACTTTGTAATAAGTCATAAGCTTTCTAATGAATAACAATAGAAATGCAATACATTGTGAATGCACCAAAAGAACATTTTAAACTGTAAAATACTTTTTTTCTATTTTTTTTTGGCCATGGAAGGGTAGTTTTTAAGGACTTCTAAGGGTTGAAATGTAATTAAATTTCATAAATGACCTATATTAAAATAGATGAAAGGAACTTTGAACATATTTGAACATGAATTGAATCTTTAAAATAAGTAAATCTGCGATTTTCGCATTTCTTTCGTACAAGGGTAGTTTTCACCACCAAATAGAAAAAAGCACACATCTAGACAATATAAGTTTTGAAGTGGGGGGTCAGATGAGATTGTATGCAAATTTTCAGGAAAATCCATGCTATCCGAAAAAATTGGGAGCTTTTACCTTATTTTTGCCTTCAGTGACTGGACTACATATGGCTGTAGCTTTTGAATTTTTTTATAAATTTCATCCAATCCAGTTAATAATCCTGACAAATCTAGTAGGACCCCTTGCTTTGGAAAAGGTCCCGACTTGATTCCACTAATGGAAGATATAATTCAATTAATGGTCCCGAGATTGTCTATCAGTTTTGAAGGAATTAGTCCACTTCCACTTACGACAGTTTCTTAGATCTTTTTAACAAGCTTTGAGGACCAATAGATTTAAAATGCAACGTGTGCGTTTGCTTGTGGATGAAGTTCAACAGCCTTCGCAATTTATCCGATGGACTTTACCGCAAGAACACTCTTACAGTTGGAAAATGATAAAATCCCTTAAATAGTTCGCTGGTGTTCCGATAATTCAATATAAACTGACATTATTTCATTCCTACAAATGTTAAGTAATACTCAAAATCAGTATTTATACTAAAAGTAAATCTTCCCCTTGAGCTTAGGATTTTGTTTTATTCAAACACCCAACTCTTTTTGTGTATACAACAGAAATACAAATGAAATCATTGTACGCATAACTCAGACAATCAGTTTGATTTCAAGTTCGTTCATAACAAAAAATAGGCCTAAAGAAACTCGTTGATGCCTGCACATAAACACAGTTAACGTCATAAGCTCGAAAATAGATGTACTAGAATATATTTCAGTCAGAGATTCTTCAGCTTACTTATTAGATAGGTCTGGTAACCTGTTATTGTTCTCCCTTTTCACTCTACCAAAGAATCGTGTAGTATGTAGAGTAGAAAATGAAACGCTTGGCAACTATTCTATACTACACAGGGCGCTGTCCTCTACAAGCTGCTTAAACGCAGCTCTCTGGTCCTGGAATCGCGTCTGCTATGATGTGATCCCTCCTTGTGGTGGCGAAGTTGGAGTAGGACGCGTCCCTTGGCCTTGGCCGGGATCTGCCCAGGGTACTGCTCATGTCGCAGTTCGATGGCGACTGGAAAATCATCAAGAATTAATAAATCGTCTAAAGTTTTTTATTTGTGGTAGAGTTAATTTTAGTTTTTCATCTACACTAAACCAAACAATTGAAGGGTCAAATGAAATTTCGAAATTTTTCGGTGATTTTTGACAGATTGTATTTAAGTGAAAAATTGTCGTATCGAGAATTAAAAAAAAAGCATCTTTCGCTCGAAAATTTTTAGGAGCTACGGTATCATGCAATTCTAATAGCGCGACAAAAAAAAAATTTTTTTGAGGTTTTCTCACAGTTTTACCGCAAATAATTTTTAAATTGATTAAAAAAAAAATATTTTTCGAAAAATTTTCAAAAAATTTTCGATTTTTATTTTTTGGAAAACCTTCCGGACATTGAAGAAACCAAAATCCAATTGTTTCCAGCACGATTCGGCTTTTTTTGTCTTATGACTCTGTTCATCAGCTTTTAATTAAATTAAAATTGAAGTTGATGATCCATAGACAAAAGAGACTGAACTGTATGTAGAGGCAAGCCGGTGAAGCCAACCGTCAGCCCAACCTCAGCCCAGCTAGCCTCGCGCTGTTAGACATCGCTGTTAGACATTCGACGTGTTAACATTGTTAGTATTTTATTAAATATATTGTTTTTATTTGTGCAATCACGTGGGCAGTGTATCGTTGACGATTGTAATAGCAGATCTGCTCACAATAGTGCTGAAATTTTATTCATTAGGTAAGTAATAACATAAAAATATTTTATGGTATTTCGACGGCTTCGCGCGGCATTCTCCATCTCACCTGCACTTATTTCCAGTGTTGGCTTCATGTTTCTTAGTGCCACGTTATTAACTGATGTAAATATACAGGCTCATTATCAACCGGCTATTTACAATGAGCTTTTTGTCACAATTGGTGTTTATTTTCATGATGGCTATTAAAAATAATTATAAATATTGAACCCTCAACATATAATTTCAATAATAAACATACATTAATATTAAATTACAGGTAATTAGTGACTGAATAAAATTGTATTAGGTACCCATTTTCTTGTTTTTATTCTCAGGTTTTCTAAAGAGGGTGGAAACGAAATTGGAAAGTGTCAAAGCCAATAAAAAAAAGATTGGGCGCTCTCAAAATCGTCTGTTATATGTTCTTTACATTTTCAAGTTTATCATTATTAATAAAAACGGCGCTAGGAATTTATCCAAAAATGCACTGCCAATTTTAAACCTGCCAAGAGTGATAAGCAAACTGTCGTTTAAAAAAGAAAAATGACAATTTAAGAAATAGAAATAATAATATATTTTTTTAATAACTCCTATAAAAACAGTACACCCCAAGCTACAAAAAATAAAATTGTGTATCATGTAGATATTAAAAAACTTTTTTAATGTGAATTTATTTAAAAAAATTTAAAAATATGGATAAGAACTTGTGAGGACAATAAATATATTTAAATTATTTTGTAGGTTTATTTAAACAAAACATTAAAATATATTATTTACTGAATTCCAAACTTGAAAAATGTGTATTTGTCATAAGTGTAAAAGTACTGTTTAATCCGGACCTGATCAAAGTATGCGCGGTCAGATTACCTCACACACTCCACTTCACCGCAATTTGGCTTCATCGGTTCCCATGCTTTGGGATAGGAAACGTACCTACACTCTAGGTAGTCTGTGGATGACCCCAACCAGATTTCGATCCCGATTCATACCGCTTTTTGAGACTTTGTAATTAATTTCTGTGCAGTCGTAATCACTTAAAAAACAGTTTTTTTCAAAACTCCCTTTTTCTTCTGAAAAAACATTTCGAGTTTTTCGAAAACAAAATTTTTTTTTTTTCATCAATTTAAATGTTTGCGGTAAAAATGTGAGAACCTCAAAAAAATTGTTTTTTCCATTTTAATCATGATTATGAAGTGTTTAATCTCAAAAAACGTAACCCTTTTTTTTTTTGTTTGAAACAAAGAGACGGTTCGTTAGATCGAGTTGAAATTTCACAGGGTTCTTCTGGGTATATCGAACTGTAAAAGTCATGCTTAACATTAGTCATTTCGTGAATATTTCTAATTTAGCCGTCAATTTTCTAAAAAAACATAAATGATCCTTTTTTTCCTGTTATTTTAAATTCGTGTAAAAGACGAAAAAAAAAAGAAATTTCCGAAAAGTTGCGGCAGCATGTTATAGGACATTTATTACAGTTTTCGAAACTGCTCTTCAATTCTTTGTACGACCATTTGTCGCCGAGATATCGATGATTGAAGACAAAAGGATCCCTTTCCATTAAATATCCGATATTTTGATGAATAATGGTCGTATCGAAATTTTAAAAACGAAAATTAAAGCTGAATAAACAAGCTATCTGGTCCATGCAATGGCTTAGCTGAAAAAAAAATTTCCAAGTCCATGAACTCGGAAAAAAAAAATAAAAAAATTTGCAAAATTTTTTTGTCGCGCTACTAAAAAAGACTGAAAGATCTAAAAACTAGAATCTTAGAGCTTCAAAATGTTTTGTTTTTAATTCTCGATGAAATATTTCGGAAATTCTTTTGACTCTAACTGATTGGTTTAGTGTATTTATTTGGGTATTTTGTCACTTGTGAAAAACAAATAAAAAATTAATGAAAGAAACATCATCCTCCCATAAAGAAAAGGGTAATTAAATATTTATAAGATTTATTTCCCCAAAAGATAATATTTCGTAGTACAAGAAATTTCCATATATTATAAATAGAACTGTGTTTCTCACCAATATTGTGTGAATCAGGCCACGAATAGCTTTACATTGATTTATCAGTAGGGCTGACAGAACTGAGCCGCGGGACATAGGCGTACGCACTATTTATTAAAAATCAACAAATTAAATTGTCCACAAAACACCACCAACGGATAGGAATTAATTACGCAACATCCGCACGATAACAAAGCAACAGTATGAACGATAATGAATGAAAAATAGGCAATTGTATTTAAAAAAGAGACATTTTTAATTTACTAATCTCTGAAAATAATAAGCTACACATAGAAATTATGTAATAATTGTGGTGTTTAATTGGTCAAGTTTTGACATGTTCAAACTGTTTTACAGTAAAGTAGGTACTAGAACTTTTCCAGAAATTATGCATATAAAATCGGGTATACAGGGTGTCCAAATGAGGTCGGTGAGGTACGATATTAGAGAAAGTGTAGGCCCTAGAGCTTCGGGAAAAAAATTTNGAACTTTTCCAGAAATTATGCATATAAAATCGGGTATACAGGGTGTCCAACTGAGGTCGGTGAGGTACGATATTAGAGAAAGTGTAGGCCCTAGAGCAGGGGTCGGCAAGTAATTTTAGGTGCGGTCCGGATACTTTTGAAAATTTTTAACGAGGTCCAGAAAAAAATTCATATTTCTTTTTTTTATTTTAATTTGGACTCAAATTTAATCTGCTTACTAATTAAAAACTCAAAACACACACAATTGTAAAATACTAGAAAAAATGATAAGATTGGCACTTAAACGTAAAAAACATTTTTTAAATAATTTATTTGAGTAATTTATACTTTCAAAAAATTTTTGGCGGTCCAGTATTTTACCTTCCGCGGTCCGGACCTGGACCACGGTCCGCCAGTTGCCGACCCTTGCCCTAGAGCTTCGGGAAAAAAAAATTGATAAATAAATCGACCAAGAGAAATCGCTGGAAATAGTTTTCAAGTTCACAGCTCGGCCGCTAGGGGGCGCAATCTATATACCAAAACATAGAGTTGAATTTTTCTCAGAAATGTTTCCTATTCAGGTATATTAAAAGTACAAATATGGATAGCCCGATTCATTGAGATTAAAAGATTTAATTACCAAAAAAAAACCTACCTAAACACGCAGCGAAGGTTAAATTCCTGTATTGAAAATAATGGTATGCATTTCGAGTATTTATAAACATCTTTACTTTGTTAAAATTTAAATTTTCTTTCGTTACATAATATCAGTATCTGTTTGTTATTATTTTCGAGATTGTTATTGACTCACTCATTTGCGTGGTCTAGGTAGGTTCTATTATAAACGCATTTTGTTTTGGTAATTAAATGTCTTTTCGTTAGCATCGTATTCCTCAATTCACTATCATTATTTATTTTTTGCTCACTAATTTACGAATAACTTGATAACAAAAAAAGATATCGAGCCCCGTTTGGTGTCAAAATGTAATTATTTTTATGCTCTTCAAATTAACCTACAAAAACTTGCTATTTCACTTTTTTAAGAAAACGTGAAAAACTAAACTTGGATAAATAGCACCAATAAATAAACAACACTTTCGTTAGAAATATCACACTTATACTATATTCATCAATTTTTTGTGCTGAATTCATTTATGTAAAGAAAACTATAGCAATGCATTTAAAATTTTTGAGAAAAATCCATAAAACGACATTCTTTTAAAATAACGCCATCTATAGATTTCCTTATTGGGGTAAATTACATTACGCATTCACCAAGAGATAAAGCATGAAAAGACCTTTCCAACGAGGTATAACACTATGGGCTTTTGATGAGCTAATCATTTAAAAATGAAATTTCCTGATCAGGCATTAGGGGCTTCCCTCACCCTGTCGAGAAATAGAACAAAATATCAATAACAAAAGTTATGAGCAATGAATCCGGATATTCATATTTGTACTAGAAAAATTCAACTCTATGCTTTGGCATGTAGATTGCGCCCCCTAGCGACCGAGCTACGAACTTGAAAACTATTTCTAGCGACTTGTCTTGGTCGATTTATTTTAAAAAAATTGTTTTCCTGAAGTTCTAGGGCCTATACTTTATCGAATATCGTACCTCGCCGACCTTAATGCGACACCTTGTATATGAAATTTAAAATTCAAGGACGATTTTATTCCACAAATGTGACGTCATCCGAACCTGTGCTGTGCCATGTTGAGCTAGCAAGACAAATTGTGCCTATTTCGCATCGCTTTTGTGTCCCGTTCATGTTTCACAAAAAATATGCCTAAATGATATTTCTCTACAAATAAAGCAGCTTTCGTCTAAAACGTCTAACAGGAAGTTTGCAGGTCTGTCGCACTTAAAGTTTGACTACGGGATCTCGGGATCGTTTTCAGCTCGTCAAAATACGTCGAATATGATATGTTCAGATATTATGTAGAGAAAAATCAATTTTGGGCCATGATTGGGCGATTTTTGGGCTCATTTTCACCATAAATATAGATTTTACAATACACTGGCCAGTCGTGCATAAATTCATACTAAGGTACCGTTTTTAGATGGTTAAAATACGTCGAATGTGATATGTGATCTTTGGGTTGGAACTTTTTTGTGTGCCTGATATTCTATTAATTAAATTGTCAAACCTTAAATAGGAGCCAAACTTTGACAAGGATTGTGTTTTAGCGATTATTGGCATTAAAATGAGTAGCACTACCGGAGTCTACATCTTAGTACTCGAGTTCTTTTTGTGTGCCGGTGTTCTTCAATGAAAGCTTTAAAGTATGTTATCTCTACTTTACCCTATTTAATGACCGTGTAATTTTTACAGACAATATATTCATCATTTGATCATCATCACTTTGAAGGTTAATAATAATTTGATCGATAGCTAGCGCGAGTACAGCCTCTAAAGTCATCCAATCTGTTTCAATTTTTTTGACATGTTGATAGCGAGTATTCAATTCTTGTGGTGTATGTCGAAAAATTCATTACACAACTTTTCTACGCCTGTCAAAGTGAAAGCAACACTTTTACTAGCAGTATATTGTTTGAGTGATGCTAAATCAAGTTCGATAGAGTTCAGTGTGGTATGGTGGTAGTCTCAGGATATTATGATACTTTTTGTACAATTCTATTTTATATTTTAAATGTTGGCTTATACATTTTTTAAATATTATATAATTTTTTTGTTTGGTCCTCATTTCAATATTTTTTGCTTTCATTACCAAGCCATCCATAAAAACTGTTGGTCGATTTTCTTCAAAGTTTTGTCTCATTCTTATTGGTATTATTTTGCGCCACCGGAATTCTATGGTATGCAAAAGCTTACGCAAACTTTCCTTGTCGCCAGTATACCCCATATCTTCATGGAACTTTTTATGGATACGTCTAGGTACAAGTACCGTGTTTTCTTGAACGTACCAATTTTGGACAGTTCTTCGTAGTACTACCTTCACCACTTAAATAGTTTCCCCTTGGTTTACAGTATTTGCCACTGTACGTACTCATACTAATGCCAGCAGCCTTTGCTACTTTATATCACCATTTTGTACCTGTTCTGTAATAAATTTAAATATACTGTGTACAGTTTCACGACATTGTGCACTTTTCGGATTACAAGTGATTTGAATTCCATAGTTCTTGTCTGAACTATGGATTTCCTTTCTCAGATTGTACAGACGGAGAATAAGCTCCGGTGCTAGTCTGGTATCGTTGCCACTGCGCATCTGAAACTCGCGGACACGGTGAATTTCGTCAAACTGTAAACTTAAGATATTTTGACATGGCATTCGGTATGCGGTCGACTTGATGTTTAAAATAAACTGTTAAAGCATTTGAACGCGCAACCGTTTGTAAGTTTTCGAGTCTGTCAGCCTTTTATGGCGCCCAATATCAACGATATCAATGAAATACTTACTGGCAAGGTGGAGAAAATAGTCGGGGAACCACAATTAAGTTGGTGCCGATTACTGAGCTCCACTGGAGACGTGAAGAGGTCTTCAGGTCTCGACAGTCCGGGGGGTGTTGTATCAGCTCCTGTTAAATGTGCACAGTCACATCACACGAACTACAAAAGGCATTAACAATGGCGGAGTCCATTCCCCTAAAGCTCTACAAAATAACTGAGGAAATGAGGGAGCAAACGAGACGAGCGTTGTTTTTCTATTTCGTCTAAAATTATATACTCCTGGGGAGAAGTAAGAGAGGAGATATATAAGGCATGTATCCTGTTAAAAGTAATTACAAAACGCAAGACATCGAGAACATAATAAAAAACTGGTTGTAATAAATAAATAGTTTATTAATAAAAACTTTAAAATATATAAAACGAACGAAAAGTTTAACAAAATATTATATATTAAGTGCAAAATAAATTCCTATGACTATAGAAATGAATTACAATAAATAAAATTAGTGAAAATAATTTAGGATAAAGATGTAAAAAAGTTAAAAGATAACAATTCCCTGTCGCTTACATAGCATTAATTTTAAAGCATCTCATTTTAAGCGCATGCAGGATGATTCAAAATTAAAACATTAATTTAATTATATAATAATTATATTACTTTCGTAATGAGACTGAATGTCAAACTTCAAGGATCGCCCTTGGATGAAAATAAACTGATTTATATCTTTTAATACAATTTTATTTCTTTAAATAGTAATATAACAAAAATATTCCATTTTTTTTAAATAATTCCATCACATTTTAAGATACTTCAAGGGAATTTGGTATATTTAGACAGCCGAAGATGAACATGGGTTTATTCGTTAACTAAAACAGAGACTAATGCTCATTTTCCACAATGCTGAGTCTTAAAACTCCTAAATTTTAAAGTTAATGGATTGCTTATTTTCTGTTTAACCTATCACTTACTGGGGTGAGTAAACTTCTCTTCATAAAAGCTCTCAATTTTTTGCCAACGTTTGGCGAAGTGCAACGAACTGTCAAGACAAATGATTTTTCCAATTGAATTTTTAATAGACGTAATTATTGTAATGGAATTGAATTCTTTGAAAGATTTAAGATTACCAAGTCTACATGACTGAACTTTGGAGCAAAGAGAAGGCAAATAAATAGCATTCCTATGGACATTACACAAAATCGATGTAACAAAATAAAAAAAATAATATTACTCTTACGGTAGGCAGCAGTTTCGAAAATAATAAATAGTAGCGTTAAAAATTGAGATAAATACGAATAATGACCAAAAGAAGATAATCACGGATAAAATCATTATGAAACATTTCTGCAGACCTAAGACACCTAAAAATTAAGTGGTGCATTGGATTTGAAGTTGAGTGCCCTAAAATTTATGAAGTTCGTAAGTGATTGTTTAGTATACCTGGCACTAGGTTGTTTTCTATCACATTTTACCATATTTTTTTATTGGTACATATTTTGAAAAATGTTTAATGGAACCTTCGAAAAATCGATTTCAATTTTCTATTGTTGTTATCAAATATGGACAGAGTTTTTGGGGGCATTCAAATACAGGCTGTTTCAGAAAGACCTCCCGTAAATACAGGGGGTACGACAAAGAATAAGATGGATATCTAATAAAGAACGCATACATTCTTAGTAATATTTTAAACTCTAATTAACCTTATATCAAAATTTTAGTGACTGTTAATGACTGTAGTTAGTAATGACTAATTACAGTCACTAAGATTTTGATATGAGGTTAATTAGAGTTTAAAATATTACTAAGAATGTATGCGTTGTCTATGAGACATCCATCAATAATTTTTGACATAAGCCTACTTTGTGAAAAGTCTTGTATTTTATACACCGTAATGTTGTAAGAGTTCAATTAAAAGCCGTTTTTCTCGAACACCGTCCACATTAGGAAGTTCTAACAAGAGTACATTATTTTTAGAAAATAAAATTAACATTAGAAATTGGAGCCTGAATGGTAAAAAACCTAACCTCAAAAAATTAGAACTTAAAATGTAATACGAATGTAGCATGACTAGCGCCCTCTATGAAATATCCAAAAAATAATTAGACCAGCGTATTTGGCATCCTTAAAAACCCCGGAATACCAAATTTCATAAAAATATTTCGCACCGTTTGGAAATTTTCGTAAAAATTCTATATCTCGAAAACCAGAGGAGATAGATATTATAGTTCATAAGACAAAAAATACTTATTTTTTGTCGTACTATCAACCCCTGTATTTACGAGAGGTCTTTCTGAAACAGCCGGTATAACTGTAGACTTTAATAGACATAAAAAATGCTCGTCTCTGATTACCAAAAAAATCATCCTTTTGGGAAACAACATTGTACTGAGACAACTTGATATCAACTAGTTTATTTTCATTCAAGGAAGTTGTCCTTCCCCTCCTTTCTGGACGCCCTGTCTGAAATATTACTTTAGAGAGCTTTTTTCTTTGTTTGGACTACTTTTTCCAAATATATTTTATAACAGAATTATTTTCTGAAAACAATGTAGGTGCAATTTTTAGTTTTGCCTTTATATTCGGACAGATAAACGTACATATCTCAATGCAATATTCTTTGTTTTTTTATTTAATTGGTAAATACCAAATTCAATGAAACATATCACAACCGTATTTATTTAAGGTTTCAACTATATTTTCTCCTTCACACTTTTCACAGATCCAACTCGTTTTGCGTTATCGACCATCCTGTATATATTTATACATATTGTTAGAACACTTACGATTATAACAGATCTGGATGGAATGACGGACTGATTGCTCAGCAACTAACAATAATTCATTTCGCATTACGTTTATGGCACATGCTTTTGGTATCTTCAGTAATTCATAAATGATTACAAGCCACGTGACCAGTAACTTTGTTTAGAACAGTAATTTTATTTCCTTCGCGTTGACAATCAAGTTTTTGATAAAATTTAAAACCATTAATGCAACTACGTTAAAACGCAACATTCTGTTTTACCGGCTTTCGATTGAAGCAGTTTTTCACGACATATTATTCAACCAACTGGCAATATTATCTCGAGTGTAGACGCAACGGTTTGTCACTGTTCAATACAAATATCATTGATGACGTTAAAATCCAGGAACTTTTAGTTGAAAATACCAATCGTGCAATGTTGGTTGCATAAGCTTTTAATCATTTATGAGGGCTTGGTATTAGATGTATGTGCACCAAACTCTACATATATCACTGCAATCCGGATAAAGCATTCTAATAGTTTCTATAAATATATACGGGGCTATTCTATAAGGCAAAACAGAGTTGGTATCTGCGAATTTTTTTTTAATAAAAGAAATTAATTGAATTTAAAAATTTATCGAATAAAGTATATTAACTTTGTTGATGTCTTTAAAGAAAAGTTAACGACGAATCTAACATATCAAAAAAAATACTTAGGAAAGCTATAAATATCTTAAATTTTTTTTTTATTAAGTTCGCAAATTTAATTTTGAAATATCCTGTATACACGCTCGCTATTCAAAATCTGACGAGACCCTCCGGTGGATGCGTAGCTCCATTTTGTGCTTTTAAAGAACGGTGATCAGTTATTCCCTTTTTACTTTTTGAAGGGGCGAAATCAGGCGGAAATATTTGCAGAATGTCCGTACAGCAGGAGGACAATGCCGGGAATTGTTTACAGATGCTTAGACGAACAAACATCACATGGGTCGGCCCTCCGTCTGTCGTATTTATTATTGTCTTTGTACGTCAAGACGAGGGGCTTATGTCTTGTACATTATTTAATGTGCCGCTTCCGTAACACCGAGGACTTGTTTCCTAACGGTTCGTCTTTGATTTGTACTAATGGGCTCAGTAGATATAACAAGTGTATCCGTTATGTATTAATAAAAATTTGCGTGTTGTGTTTTTAATATTTAACATCGATGATACATTTATTTGCCCAGAGCCTACAGATGTCGTCCCTTTTTTTCTAATATAATTTGCAATCGATTGCATTTAACGAATTTCCAAAATACTCAGTGGCGTCCAAATTCTGCGAAATGGTTGCACAAGTAAATGTAATTTCAAAACTTCAACATCCTTACGATATAGTTTCAAACTTATCATTATTTAAAAAAAATTATTTTGTGAAATATTTTTAGTATTTAAGTAAAATTTCACATCCGGAACAACCCGAAGTTAAATAAAAATGTTTTTTTACAGAACACGAGCTCTTGGACATATTCTTTTGATTCGAGATACTTTTTTAGTGTATTAGTATTAGATTTTGTTGTTATTTTTATTTTTAAACTAAACTCCAACTCTAAAATTGAAAAAACGAACCACTTTTGAAATTCTCGTCAGATATTGAATAATTTCTTAAATATGTTCGCAAAAAGTAACTCCTTCTGCCAGTATTACGGAAATATAGATGAGTTTCCTTGAAACATAACTGAAAAATTGATATTCTTTCAGATTTATTTGTATAGCTTGAAATATCTACCGAAATCTATCAATGGCTTGAATACTGAAAATTTTACCTAGAAATAAATACATGATGATAATTTACTTTTTATAACAAACCGTAAAATTTATTAACATCCAATTATACAAGCATGATTTAAATTTCAAGTTGCACATTGCATGAAGGACCTTACTTAGAACAAACGACATCAAAGGCACTAAAAATCATATCACATAATTTACACAGAAGAAAGCAAGTATGCTAAACTAAAAACACCATGTTAAAAAAATAATTTACTTTATATAAATATCACTAAATTGTCTGGGTACAATAATTGCAGAAAGTTGCCTAGGCAATTGTTACATGTTGTATATTTTAGGTTATAATTTTGCGATTTCAAATATTTACAATTCATAAGGGTTCAATATAAAAAAATATTTGCACTAATGTTGAGCTTTTGAATAAGTTGCTGCATCCACATTTAACGTCTACAGAAATATTGCATAAACTAAGGTCTTTCTTTCCCTTATTCTCTTACTACAAAGTAATAAAAAGTTATAACTATTCATTTTCGGTCGTAAAAAATCATAGGTTAGCCTGTTTTAACTTTTTACTACATAATAGGGGAAGGTATAAAATATGGTTACCAATTACCTCTACCTTTCTCTACGTGATGATTTTTTTATCTTGAAACTCATGAAAGCTTTATCCTTTTAAGTAAATGTTGGTTAGTGTCGTTGTAAAATGTATTTAGTAATCAGATTATCACAAATAATAGCAAAAAGATTATTAGCAATATGTTTATATTTGTGCGATATCTTAGATGAAAGACAAACGAAAAACGACAGTAAAAATCTGTTTAGATGGCGTGAATAGGGACTAGTTAAGGTCCATTTGACACTTGAAAAACATTGTTTTCAAAATTCGGAAAATAAAAAAAATTACGTCAGAACTTTTTTTCCACAAACACCTATTTTTTATGATAACTTAAATTATCTATTTTTTATGAACATTTTTTGTGCAGAAATTTTTTCTCTATCTCTTCTCCTTAATAAGTTGGAATAACAAACATACAAAAATGTATCCTATTGTATTGGAACTAGTCATGACTTAATCAACATTACTGTGAAAAACAATCGCTGTAACTTCTGTCACAAATTTGTTTGTTGTTTTGTTGTTTGTCACAGTTGCTATGTTCTTCTTAAAAAAAATTACTCCACGAAGAAAAATAGAACAATACACATAATGACGGTTAAATAGGATAACCAAATATAGAAGATAAACAATTTTAATTGTACATAACTAATAAATATAATAATAACTAATAACAAAATACAAAACAAAATATAAAATTATGATTATTACTTTAAAATATTTTCGATATGCATGCCTCCTACTTCTAAGCATTTATCCAATCTTTTCCTAACTTGACTTGTAGCTTTAAAGAACGTTTCTCTTGAAAGATTCTCACAAATATGTCGAATCTTTTGCTTTAAATGCTCCAAACTTCTCGTGGGTGTCTTATATACTTGATTTTTTAATATTCCCCATAAAAAATAGTCTAGGGGAGTTAAGTCTGGAAACTTTGAAGCACATTCTACAGGCCCATTAATTCCAATTCATTAAGTTTCGAAAGTATTTTTTAAATAATATCTGCTTTATGTGGTTACAACACCACCGTGTTGTAACCACATATTCACCCGAGCTGCAGCAACACATGTTCAAGCAGTGTTGGAAGTTCCTCTTGCAAAAACTGTAAATAGCTATATTTTCATAAAAGTATGGGCCAATTAAATGCATTCCAATAATGCCACACCAAACATTTATTCGATAATGGCCCTGATTTTGAATGGGATTAACATAGTGTGGACTTTCAGTGGCCCAGTAATGTTCGTTTCTTTTATTTGGCTTGCCATTACTTATAAAACGACTCTCATCGGTCCAAAGAATGTGTTGTGAAAGTCTATTATATATTTCCAAATTAACCATTATTTGGGCTACATAATTAGGTAAGTCTTTTTTCAGCATGTATGTCAGATGCTCCAAGTTATTTAGTCTATAGTCATGATAACCATTGGAGCTCAAAGTTCTTTGCATAGAGCTTCTTTTTAAATTTAATGCAAAAGTGGCCAGTCGTATAGAATTTGTAGGATTTTCCTCAAAATATTGTAATATTACACACTGATTTTGAAATTCCTTCCTCTTTTCTTGATGAAAATGCATTTTCGTAGTACGCAAAATTCGTTCTAATCTGGCAAATATTTTTGGGTTACTTAACAGCTTGACGCTCTGGATATCTCTCATGATATAAGTTAGGAGCTCTTCTGGCATTTTTTTGACATTCACCATATATTAAAATCATGTCAACTTTTTCATTGTTTGTGAATATTTTTTTAATTGTCAGCAACCACTTACTAATTTGTTTATCATGTAATAAATAGCGTTTGACATAAACTAATATGTAAACAGATTTGTGACAGCGGTTTCAGCCATTGTTTTCACACCAATGACTAATTCCAATACAATAGGATACATTTTTGTATAATGTTTGTTTTTAAGGAGAAGAGAAAGAGAAAAAATTTCTGCACAAAAAATGTTCATAAAAAATAGATAATTTTAGTTATCGTAAAAAATGGGTATGTTCGTGTAAAAAAAGTTGATGACGCCATTTTTTTTATTTTCCAAATTTAGAATAAAATGTTTTTCAAATGCAAAACGGACATTAACGAGTCCCGACTTACGCCATCTATCGACAGATTTTTACTGTCGTTTTTCGTTTGTTTGTTATGGGACAAAGACGCGAACTTTGGGACACTCTGTACATACCGTCAAAAAGGAATTAAAATCATATTTTGCAATTTCCTAGAATAGAATGTGCGTCATATCGAAAAGAAATTTAAGTACTATTTTTAATGTACTCTGCATTTTTAGAAAAGCTACTATTATTGAGAAAATTTTAGTGGCATAGAAGTATTGTTAAATTTGAACTGATTTGGTCCACCCGTTTTAAAAATATAACCAAAAACATATTTTTTACTAAAAATGTAACAAAGATTCATTAAAACTTTTTTCTCTTTTTTTTGGAAGACTTTTTACACTTTTTGCAAAGGTTGTCGGTTCAGTGTATGATAATTTAGTGAATTAATTATTTAGTATAGAAAGATAAAAGTAAAAATTATTGTAGGTGGATTGGTTTCTGCGAGACTGTTGCTAGTTTAAATTTTCAATATTTTAGGAGACAGATATCTATTTTCTTCAAAAAGTATTTCTGAAACTGTAGATGAAGTTGATTAGAGAATCATGTTTCCGATAGCTAGTTATTGTTGCGACACTTAATATGAATTTCTATTAACTATTCTTTTGGACTCTAGAACCATAAACTCCTTAAGGGCGCCATATTCTTTAGTAGTGTTTTCCACAAAGACAAATAATTTCAAACATTTAATAACTGAATAATCTAAAGCTTATCAAATAATAGGAATGTTATGTCATGCCATCTGGGTATTTTTTTTTTTTCAATAAACTCACAACAGACTGTTTCGGATCAGCAGAAGTGGGAATTTATCTGTTGGAATGGAAAAACTTTATCTTTAGCTTATGGTTCCTCTTAAAGATCAGAGAGTTGTGTATCTTGAAATATCAAACCCTTTGTTTCTAGAATGATTATCTTATTGGAAAGAATTAATAGGAGCCTTCCTTTAAACCCACATAAAGGTTTTAATGAAGCAGATATGTAAGGCATAACGACGTCTAGGCAACTTTCGAAAGAGGCATCCAATATCCACTCGATAACATTCACAAGCTGCTCTACATCTAAACCTCGTCGTAATGCTTAAACGTGGAGAATGTTTTCTTACCGTGATGACACCGACACAGGCACTTGCACTCACCTCGAGGCGTGTTGAGTATATCCGGCTGCCTCCGGGGGTCCGGAGACGAGATCAGGGCGGGAGGGGGCGGAAGGGTGGGGGCACAGTCCGCCGCCGGCTTCAAGGTGTAAGCCACCACGTACCGGTTGTCGCCGGTGTTGATTTCCAGCATTGAGCCCTGTCTGGACTTGGAGTTCTGCTTGGAGGCGTCGATGTTAATGTGGTGCGGACAGTGCATTCGACCGTCGCACTCGCGTTTCCTTCTGACTGCTACGACCACTATGACGAGGACGGCCATGCCCAGGGTCAGGAGAGAGCCCGTGAGCAGGCCGGCCAAGGGGACGAGGCTCATGTTGCTGCTTCCGTCTGCAGAACAAAACTAACTGTTATTATGAATTTGTAGTACTTTAACTTATTAATCAAAAATATGTGAAAAGTGCGAACCTGTGTGGTAGTTTCTTTACTGGCTTTAAATTCATAAATACATGGTGTTTTGAAATAAGTGACTTCCCTCAATTTCGATATAAAGGGCTTTAAAATAAATAATTGCAGTATGTGGTCTAAAGTGTCATGTGTTTTAGAAAATCAATCCCAAATTATTACGCGAAACTTAGGTCGACCCTGTACACCACACTTAATCAACTGTTTACAATGCAGTAACTAAGTCAAGATCAGTGTGGTTATTTGTACGACGTGAGCGTGGACGAGTTTTGCTTGCTTTGTAGATTGATTAAAATTGTTATGTATCAAAACGTCTTATTGTGCGACTATGATTTAAGTATGATTTGTCATTTGCATGTGAATCGTTACCTCCTTAAGACAATAATCGAAATCCAGAACAGTGCAAAACACTGTTCAAAGACAGCGGAACATCGGCAGAGTCAATCTAACGTATGAAGGCCGTGGGCAAGAAAGACCACCACGTGTTTTAAATAGGAAAGAAAACATTTTACAACTTGTCGAAGAAAACCCGAACCGCAGTACTCGCGATATTACACGTGAATAAAGCGTTTCAATTACTGTTATGTGGCGTGTGTTACGGAACAGTGACTGCACCCTTATATATACATGTCAAGGCTTTCATTGCAAATGATTTTTATCTCGCGAGTAGAATTTTGCCGTTGGTTGCGACCGCAAGTGGCTCAACAATCAAAATCTTCACAGATTAATGTTGTTCTAAAGAGGCGGAATGCTGCATTTTCACAGCACTAACTGTTGATGTGATACTAATCCTCACCTTGTACACAAACTATGACTTTATGCGATCTATTACTCCTTTCAAAGCACATATTCCGGAAACACCAAAATATAGGGTGATTCACAACTTATCCAAAAAAATTTGGGAATAGAAACGTCATGAAATGGAAATTGTAAAAATTTTTTTGTAAAATCCTTATAGTTTCCGAGAAAAAAGTTATTGAAGTTGTAGTATTTTCAACCCTTAAATCGTGGTTGCTGTAGTCTCTAGCGTCATTTGCGTCGTGCGCTGTGCGCAATGCACTCTCTCCACGTAGATCCAGGCGATTCCGAATTCTGAAATACGATTTTAGTATTACCGTTTTTGCGATAGTGTTTATATTAGTTTTTCAAATGGCAAAAATGGCTTGCGTGTATAGCAACTCGGAGTTCATGGATATCGTTTTAATTTATGGTGAATCAAGACGTATTAATAATAACAATAGCAGCAACAGCAGTTAATTTTGCTGATATAGAATACGTGTTATAAAATTTTATTTATTTCTTCCTTTGGAAAAGAAATTTTTTCAATTTATTGTCCGTTCATTTTTTACTACACTTTGCCACCGTGCCGGTCGCCGACTACATGCTTTGCTTTGCGCAAGGTCAGGTTTTACAGTGGACCAGTTTCCAGTGCCGTTTAGAAGAGTATTTTTAAATCCTCTTCGAACTGACCTTTTTGATTCTTTTTTTTTACAAAATTGTATTTGTAAGAGTCTTCTGAACATTCAATTTTGTTTTTGAAGTTTTGAAACACCCTGTATATATCCTTTGTAAATTTTTAATTAAACTAGAATTGTGCTTGCGTGACCACGTTTGTACCGTTTAAGTATTATAATATAAACGTAAAATCACTACTACTGTTTCAATTTAACTGTAAAAATTTTCAACTCGCCAAATAAATGCTAATTTACTTCGATTATTTTAAGTACCTTTCTTATAGTTCTTTGATTTTTGATAAAAATCTTATAATTCAAATATTGTTAATAGGTAGACACTTGGTGCCTTCAAAGATTAAAAAAATTCATCAACCTGTCCGTTTTTCGGCGTCATTGAGCATAATATCTTCGAGCACTAATTTCTCACTACGCCCTTTGGCGTTCTGAGCGTACACCACGATACGCAGCGATGGAGGAGATGGTAATAATTCCCCCAAATCCAGTCGGAAAATCGGCGACTCCGTTTCTGACACGCTGAAATTCAGTCTAAGACGCATGCTGTGAGCGTCGTAGGCCTCCAGGATAAAGTGCTGGGGCAGGCCGCCATCGTAGCCTGCGCGACACTCCACTTCGACGACCTCCGTCTGATTCGTGACAGTCCTCAGGGTGCAGTTGGTCAGCGGACTCGGTTTGGCCGCAGGAACTACCTGTAAAGATGAATTATAATTTGGTTACAGTAAAGGTAGATGTTCATGATAGATAAATTCTTAAAGGCGCTTATATATATTACAAGATGCTTAGGAAAAATGTATATAGAAAAAAAGGAATATTTGGCTGCTCTTGTTGTTCTCGGGCTAGGCTCTGTAGGGACAGACTAGCTATCAGTACCCTTACGCCTGCCCTCATGTTCATTTCGGTTCTTGTTGTTCTAAAAAACCGTGGATTCATAAAATGGTGTTCCTATGAGACATTTCGTAGTGACTCCTGTAACTGGTCGCATCCGATGCTTTCATATATTTCGCTGTTCTTCATTATCGGGATTTTCAGTGGTGACTTTGTAAATGCTTCACTGCCACTGATGCAGTAAGCGACCTCATGGTTGCCAGATTTTTTTTTAACCTAGTAGCCAAACCAAAATTGAAAGTAGCCCAAAATAGCCTGACATCTAGTAACAAAAACCGTTATTTATAATTTTTATACATTTGAAGTTTAAAACCATTCGGGTTTGAGTTTGTTCTGTGAGTCTGGGGATAACCCTTTTCTAGTGGTATGTGGACAACCCCGAGAAATAGAGTAACTGTTTGCTGTTCTCGGGTAAGGGTAAGAATACAACCCACAGAACATATAATGCATACAAGTACAACTATGGCCGTAATAATCTAGTAGCTGCAACATGGGAAAAATTTGAGCTCACTTTGATCTTGACATATGTAATTTAGCTACTACTCAACAGATGGCAGCAATAAGTACTAAAGAACTAGATTTAAATTCAAAAATAATTCTCTGACAATAAATAAATACTTCATCTCTGGAATAATTACTTAACTAAGGTAAATATATATATGATTATAANAAAAATAATAAAGTTTCAAAATGACTTGCTCTACGTAAAGTGAGGCTGTCATCACTCTAGGTGATAGAATGGTCAAAACTGAAAACTCATTTTTGCTCAAAAAGACAATATTATAAGAAAGAGTAAACAGTTTTTTGTCTACTGGTACACATTTATCAACAACATTGGACAGTTGACAATTTAATTTTAGTGGAATTGCAGCTATTAAGTGCTTCATATTCCTTGCAGGAAAATGGTCGAATTTACGTTTGAGGAATATGCAGATAATATGCATCTTATTTATGACGGGGCAAGATGCAACACTAGAGAAGCTGAGCGGCTTTATGCTGAGCGATTTCCTAATCGCCGACATCCTTCCCCCCATTTAACCCCATTGGATTTTTTTCTCTGGGGTTACATCAAGTGGTTGGTGTCTGAAACTCTCGTTGACAGCCATGAGAAATTATTGGGAAGAGTGATGTCAGCCTCTCTTTACGTACAGCAAGATCCGCACATCCTCCAACGATGATTCTTTGCTTCGAAGGACCAATTTATGCAACGAAACTGGGGGGTCGTCATTTTGAAACTTTATTATAATTTTTTCCTTTATCAGTAATAAAAAATAATATGATATTGACATGTTTCACATTCAAGCAAGTCATTTTAAAACTTTATTATTTTTCGTTATCAGTATGACTCTGGAGCTGAAACGGCCCACTTTTGACTAGGAGTCTCTATGAAAAAGTTTTTCATCACAATGTCCCCTATAAAATCCTGAAGTTTGGCACAACCTTTTTGGAACACCCTGTATATATTACAAGATGTCTAGGAAAAAAGTATATAGAAAAAAAGGAATATTTGGCTGATCTTGTTGTTCTCGGGCTAGGCTCCGTAGGGACAGACTAGCTATCAGTAGCCTTACGCCTGCCCTCATGTTCATTACGGTTCTTGTTGTTCTAAAAAACCGTGGATTCATAAAATGGTGATCCTATGAGATTCTGAGATGTCAAATGTTCTAACGCGATATTATTTCCAAAAACAATGTAAAACAGTAAAATTCGTGACAGGTACGTTTTTGAAGGTGGCAAAATATGCATTGTTGGTAGTTTTTAACCATTTGTTAAAAGTCGTTAGTTATGATCTTTCCCAAATGCAATTGACTGTCTTAAAGTCAATCAGCTTCTGTTTCTAAATGTATTAGGTATGTATGTGGAAACTATTGGATCTTACTTCAGTGATAGTTACCATAAAATAATTTTGCTTCTTTAAAAAGTTATCCACCTTCAAAACAATTTTTTTTTCATTTTAACAAATGTACTAGTATAACTTTTAAAGAAGTAAAATTGCACTTAAGTAACTTGGTCTAAATCAGTTTATTTTCATATAAGGGACCTAGCTACTTTTGAAGAACGGCCAATCCAAGTTTAGTTACCCTATATAAGGGATAAGGAATATAAGATGGTTGTCTTTGGGACAGTCAACTCTGAATTTGTCAAAAACTATGTGTTTTCAGTGATTTCAATAAGATTATTTTACTATGCAAAACTCAATTTTACAATATTACATTAATATGACTCATATTATAAAAATACCTAACCTCACAAAAATTGCGTCATAAAATGTCACTGAATAATAGTAGTTCCTTTAGCACATGGTTAAAAAATACAACACTGCATCTTCAAAAACGTAGCTGTAGCAAATTTCAATACGTTACATAGTTTTTTGGGAAAGATATGGCTAAAAATTTAATATTAAAAATCACCTTTTACGCCCTGTATTTCAAAAACAAAAGACGATAGACTCATGGCCCGCAGTTATAAATAGTCTTTCTTGTTGTTCTATTAGCTTTTGAATGTATGGTACCTTTTCCCAAACCATCTTGTACTATTGAATTCGATATAAAATTTAGGTATGAATTTTTCGATATTTTGGCGGATGCGCCACGATCAAAAGTGATTTGTAAAGAAAATAATATCACATACATAACTTAAAGGTCCGCAGAAAATGGAAAAGTATAATCCACTAGCTATATCATCTGCCTTTTATAAAATATGTATGTATTGATTTCCACGCCAAATCGACGACTTTTAACCCTGACCCCATTCGATTTGGCTGATACTTTTTTATTGTTTTTTATCCCATTGAAAACCTCTGAGAATTTTTTCAAATTTTTTCGCCAAACTCAAAAAATAATGAATTTTGAAAAAAATTAGCTTTTTTTTTTAAAATAATCATCAAACGTTTTCAAAAATCGAGTTATCGGGATGTTTTTCAAAATTTTTGTTTTTAAATATACTTTTTGGCCAAAAATGTATCAAAATTATGTGGACCTACCATCACTGTTTTTTCTTCAATTTTCGAAAAAAAAGTGAATTTCTTTGAACATTTTTTTTTCTTATAAAATTTTGGACATTTTTTATAAATCCTCAAATTTTTTCAGTGGTGTTTTTCGTTTTCTATTTTTTTTATTGATAGAAAAAAAAATCGTTTTTCAAATTTATCTTATTTCACATACCATTTTGAAAATTTTTGAAAATGTACATAGAATCCCAAAATTGAAAAAAATGAAAGAAATAATTGAAAAAAAAACATTTTTTTTTAAAGTAAGAAAAAAATTGAAGATCGTTTTGAATAATTTATTTGTATTTCATTTCGAAAACTACATCCAAAAACAAAGAAAATGAAAAAAAAGTTGCTATTTGGTCCATTATTGCCTTTAAAAAACGACATGCAACGCATTTGAACTAAAATAAATCATTTTGAAACCATCCTCGTTTGACTTTTTGAAATCATCATCAATCGCTGTATAGAATAAAGTTGTTCAATTTTGGGGTTCTATATACATTTTTAAAAATTTTCGAAATGGTGTTATGTGAAATAAGGTAAATCTGAAAAAAAATATTTATTTCAATCAATAAAAAAAATAGAAAACAAAAAGCACCACTGAAAAAAATTGAAATTTATAAAAAATATAAAAATTGAAAAAAACTCCATTTTAAATAATGTATTGCAATATCTTCTTAGGGAAGCACTTGAAAAACTATTTAGACAAAAGTTGTAGGGAGACACTTGATGGTACTCTTGGACTTGACACGAAGGTCAACCATAGAGGTCATTTGAAGGTCAACTGTTATTTTTAGATACTATAGATATATTTCTGACACCAAACATGGATACTCGTAGAGTAGAAAATTTTACGTTATGCGATATTTTTCGGGAATGCACTTACGACGAAGGATTCTAGTTAAAAGTTTTATGGTTTGATGGGATCATACGATGATGACCTTGACCATGACCTAGAGGTCAAACTTGAAGGTTCTTTGAAGGTTAATTCAAGTTACAAAATATGAGAACCCCGTTTGTAGCTCCATTAACTTAAAGCAAAATCGTTATGGCCCAGCCAGTCAAGGCAAGATCACTTCGACCCGGCTGGCTGGAACATAGTGACCTTGCCTTGGCTATAACGATCTTGCCTTCATTGGCTGGGCTATAACGATCTTGCCTTAACTTAATGGGACAAACAGGTTTCTCCTATTTCGTAACTTGATTTGACCTTTACAGAACCTTCAAGCTTGACCTCTAGGTCATGGACAAGGTCATCATCGTATGGTCCATCAAATCATAAAACTTTCAATGAGAATCTTTCGTCATAAGCGCTTTCCCGAAAAATATCACAAAATCTTATTCAGAACCTTATTTGACCCTAAAATAACCCTTTAGGGTCATTTTGACCCATAACATAGACATATTTGAACGTAAAATTTTCCGCTATATCCTTTTCCAGTGTCAGAAATATATCATATCTAAAAATCCCAGTTGACCTTCAAATGACCTTTGCGGTTGACCTTTGTGTCAAGTTCAAGGTCATCATCGAATGTCCCCTTCAGAACACCGTGTATAATAAAATCCCGATCAACTAGATTACATTCCACAGTTTTTTTTAGTTGAACTGGTTCACTATTTGAACGACAAGATCTTATAATCACCGATCTATTAGTGTAAAATTTTTGCTTAAACTGGCTCTAATATTTTTAAAACAGGAGTTGTTAAGAAGACAACAGGCCTCTAGTTTGGCACAAAATCTGTCGCAACGTCACTGTTACATATCGCATATGTGCCTACCTGGAAGACGCAGGGCTCCGTCTGCTTCCCTATCGAGTTCTTGCCCCAGCAGGTCAGGGTTCCGTAGTCCCTCTGCGAAGCGGGTGTGTACATCAACTCGCTGACGTTGCCGCTGGAGGTGGCGAACCGAGCCGGCGACACATCGAAGCTCTCTCCGCTGTTGTTGAACTGCCATAGGAAAGTCACATCCGTGGGATCGGCTGACACCTGGCAGCGCACCTTCAGGGCTTCGTCCAAAGAGGCTCCGATCACCGTCACTTCGTTGTCCTTACTGCATACTGGGGCATCTGCAAGGTGCAATAGTGGATTAAAGATTATTAATTACACAGGCACACAAAAAAAATGTCAAGATCTAGAGGGTAGACCCCCCCCTAGCCTATCGTTTTTGGGGTCGCTGAGACCGAATATGACCATTAAAAAAATTTAACTAGCCATTTCCCCGTTACCACCCCCATACACCCCCTTCTGGGAGTTGAAATATCAATTCTCATAAAAAGTCGAGTAGGGTGTGTATTCCTATGTTTTCTGGGCCACTAAGGACAAAGAAGACTACCAAAAATGAATTAGGCACCCTCGTTACCCCCTAGCGTCACTTTACCACCCCCATACACCCCTTTATGGGGGTTGAAGTGTCAATTTTCATACAAAGTCAAGTGGGTCGTGTATGCCTACATTTTCTAGGCTGCTGAAAACAAAGAAGACTACCGAAAATGATTCCAACCCCCTCGTCAACCCTCAGTACCCGTTGCCACCCACATTTGTTTTCAGCAGCCTAGAAAACGTAGGCATTTACAACCCACTCGACTTTGTATGAAAATTGACACTCAACCCCCATAAAGGGGTGTATTGGGGTGGTAAAGTGATGCTAGGGGGTACCGAGGGGGGTCTTATTCATATTTGGTTGTCTTCTTCGTCCTTAGTGGCCCAGAAAACATAGGAATACACACCCTACTCGACTTTGTATGAGGTGTATGTGGTTAAACAATTCAACTGTTTCACAACAGCCATTACGTCTTCATGTAAGCCCACCTGGGGTTACATGGGGTTTGAATTTATTGCAATAGACAAATGACAAAATTTAGAAGAATAAGGAGAAATAATCTGCAGTGACATATTTTGTGATAGTTCTCAGTAGGTACCTGTGTACATAATTTACGTATTATTTAGCATATTATACTGTACTTTTAAACTTTTTAGCATGGAAGATTGTGAACTGGGTGTAATATCTGAATTAAAACTAAGTATTTTCACTCAAATATAGGTACCTGTTAAATAACTTCTCCAAATAAACTTGTATTTGGTACACTTGTACCTAAATCGGAGTAAATTCCTCATTATTGAGTGACCCCATCCAATTCTATGATTGTCGTGCGTTGTCTTTGTATAGAATAACCAATGGTCCCATCGTTTCCATTATGTCATCTCGTGGCGTGGTGTGTGGCGTATAGTGCTGGAAGTATCCGTTTATCCGGTTGTTTTGGTGGCATTTGTGTTTAAATGCAGTGGTTTATTACAATAATTAAATCAATAATATTTTGATAAATAATTTTCTTAAAATAATTCGAGTGTGCCAAGTGAGTTGAGAAGGATATCTGACCGACATCCTTTCATATTTAATGGAAATGTCGACCCTTTAAAAACATGTATTACATAGAATTTGGCCATGAAACAAAACGTTTAATACCAACTAAAAGTGGTTATTGATGAGATTATTGAAACGGCGCGGATGCTTCCAGAGGACCTGAATGAATGCGGTATGTAATTAAATGCATATTTGTGCAGCGTCACGGCAGCACTGTAAATACGTGGCACTGCATTAGATTGCACTTAGACACCTGTTCTCGCCACTCAGCGGTTTCCGTATGCACGGGAATGCGCGCATGAATTTGTATTACATTAAATTTAGCGGTATATAATAATTATTAATACGGTTCGTGTTGCGCGACAACGTTTTTGGTGTAAGTAGGTACTTGTTTAATATTTAAATACTATCGACGCCGCAGTTTGTCGAGTTAAATGTAATTTTTCACATACCTAAAAGACTCTATAAATTGAATAAAGCTACGGGGCGTCCCAGAAAGGACGGAGGAATGAGATACAGCCGATTTGGTGCGAGTTACTTTGGTTACACTGTCACAATACCCAGTGGGGCTCAGATATTTTTCTTCTCTATTATTTCGGTAATTTGCTACTTTTGAATAAACCTATGCGGCAATAGGATTAGTTAATAGTTATATTTGAAACTTTGTTTGCCTAGCCAAAAATCTTACACTGAAGAAAGCAGAGAAATAAAAAGATGTGCATCAAGTTGCTGCGTAAACTTGGATTCTTGTTGGATACAATGTTAAAAGTAGGTAATAATGACTAAATGGTACATATATGATACTTATCTCTAGTTATGGAAGCAGATAAAGGAATAAAAACTAAACTGTCACACATATTTAAATGAGATACAAAACTCCAGAGTCACTAATAAAGATGCCGAAAGAAAAGAAAGGCTAAACGAGGAAGTGATACTTTAACTCTTATTGTGTTTCATTTATCAAAGCCGAGAATTTCAGAAAAGTAATATTCCGAAAGCGGTTAGAAATATAAAAATTTGTTCGCAAGTGATCCACTTTAAGTTTTAGGTCAAGAGCGCCAGCCTGACGCCGCACCACCCAGACCGGCCTAGCCGTTGCAAGCGACGAGAAACAATGTGTAACGCGGGATATGGTTCCTGAAAGAGGACCACGGCAGATTGGCGCTAAGGACCAGATACTTATACCTGCGAGCGACTCCACACCAAGACGACTCTCTAGAGAACGTTCGCCCCATCAACATATCTATTTCTCTACACATAGTTTTCAATAAAAATACTTTTATTTTCACCGTTGAGAGAGTTTTATTTTTCTGCGCACCGAAAGCAACCCTCAAACTTAATACAGTAGAAAAAGGTTTTACAATTAAATGTTATTTCCAGTAAAATCAAAACATTAGTAAACTGAAAGAATTTACCAAGCGATATTAACATACAGAGTGAGTCGTGAGAATCACTCCAAACTCCAGTTCACAGATGTTCTGATAAAAATGTATTTGGGGAACTCCCAAAGAAACTATTTTGTTGTCGGATACTGTCTGTTTATTTTTCCCTCGAATATTCTGTTAATTCCTATGTATAGGGTAACAGTGAGATTGCTACAAAAATTTCAGGATTGGTTCCTCCTATCAAAATAAACAGAAAATCAAGAACTTTGATTCTTAATTGTCATACGATTCCTTACGAAATCCCAATATCTATGGAAAAGTCACCTTCGATATCAAAATACCTTTTTTCAATAGCTGAAATCTCCAATTCCAATTTTTAATACAGGGAATTGCCCTAGATCAGTTTGTATTTCAAAGGTTCTTGAGTAATTGACAAAAATTGTGTCATCGTAACTTATGGAGATTGTAAATGATCAAAGAGTCCTTTCAGGGAAAAAATGTCTCCCCTCTTTTTCGTTTGTTCTGATAAGTGGGAACAGTTATGAAAGTTACTCTGCATTTATTGGTAGTTAACGAGATACATAGTAAAAAAAACAACCGATTATCTCGAAAACGGTAAGTTTTAAACACCATGTATATGTATAATAATCTCTACCTAATATTAACCATGGAATTGAAAAATGCAATAATATACAGGGTGTTCCATTTAAAATAACAAAGTTATGTCACACCCTGTAAAATATTTTCATTCCATGGCCCATATGATTCCAGGCAACTTTTATTAAAACCAATTTTTTATAAATTTTACAGTTGCATAGTTACAAAAGAATCCCTCTTAGGTGGAACACCCTGTATGTATATAAAACCTCGCAGTCCTAATATTATTTAAACTAGCCAAACTATTCGATTAACCTTCTCTATGTCGATTATCTAAATGAGAATCTTATTTTTTACAATTTTAAGATAAAACGTATATAAGACCATTTTGCACAACTCACGGCGTTATCTGCATTGTTTAAAGGAAACCCTTCCTTCTGAAGTAAAATCCATTAGTGGTTTCTAAATCATTTCTATTATAATCGTACTTACACCTAACCCTGAGCACCACTGGCGTGCTCATCGTCTCCCCTCGTGGGTTGGCCGCCAGGCAAGTGTAAGCCCCACTCTGCCACCTAGTCACCCCCTGCAGGACCAGGCTCTGGGCGCTGATTATGATTCCGGACGACATGTTCTGAGTTACCAGCACCCCCTGAAAATGCGAAATGATCGGTAATTAGAAGTTTTATTTAGGGCTGGGGTTATAGACGTTTTATTGCCGATGCTGAGATAAAAGTTTGAGGAAGGTTTAAATTTTATTATTCTACTGAAACGTGGTTTGATATGATTGGATCTGAAATCTACTAAATTCAGTTTGTGAGGATCCCATTTTCTTACTTATGATACTGACGAAATATTGCAAATAAATATGCTGATGCGAGATTCTTTTTTGTTAAATGGTTTAAATTCAAAAAAGTTTCCAAATTTGGATGTATTTCAAAATTTTTTTCGTGAATCCAGTTGAAAAGCTCGGTTCATTCTACGACCGGTAGATGACACTAGTTATACTTTATCGGTACAGTAAACTTGTTTTTAACATATTTGTCGTTTATACGTGGATAAGTTGACAAAAACAGCAAGCCAAACATTTTTTTTGCAAGTTAAAAGTAAACACAGTTTCCAAAATAAAAGAATTTACCGTTTCACTGCGTATATTAAACAAAAAAATTAACTGGCTTATAAAATAAATATCTTTCTTAGTTGTTTTGATCACAGATTATACAGTTGGTCATTCCTCATTGATCTTGGGATCACAAAGTTCATGTTTTTAGACTACTGTGCATTCAAAATTTAAGGCTGGAACAATTCCGTAGCACTACATCCTGTACTATTATGAATATACATCGGGCATTCAGAAATATTCCAAGGAGATGTTGTTATTTACAAACAGAACTTTGTATGTATATACAAGATTTGCGGCATAAATATTATTCATCTCGGTCGGATATATAATTTTCATTTAATTTATAGTGTATACATTAATTATAAATGCAGTTTGTTAGTTCCTAAACGATTAATAATGTGTTTTGATTTCAGAAACATTAATATGACGAGGCATATTAAGATACAAATGTAATTAATAGACATCGCAAACTGTGGTGACAAATAAATGAACAGTAGTAATCTATATTGCTAATAAGCGGCATTACGCGTTGTAGGAAATAGGGCAAATCTGTGGTCAACGCGTGAGCCGCTCTATGCTTACAATATACAATGCTATTGACTGCTATAAAAACACGTGCCATACACTCGACCGAGCAAAGCGTCAGTCACTCGCAGAAGCACAGACGACAATGAAATGCATGGCCAACTTCCCTCAGCAAAAACTGGATCATTCACCGGCACACCAGGTCGACAGAACAGGCATTAGGGTGCCCCTAGATATGTATCGAATAAATAGATCGATGCCAAGCTTCAAATCAGAGTCAGATATGTAATATTAGAAATAGCTGTCTATTGGGTAAATTGACATTTTTTCATGGTTTTCATATTCCTTCGTGAGCTAGATAATAGTGATGCTTGGCTCTCTCTGTACGATTCTTCTTTAGAGATTAGGCACTTAGGTAAAATAATAATAATAATTTATTATCCATAAAGACCAATACAATTAGTATTGGATTAGTCAGTACAAAATACAATATTTAAAATAAACACAACCACAAAGTAACATAAAATGTGTATAATAAGAAGGCACTAAATCTAGTATAAAATTTAAAATTTATATAATACAGTACATATAATTTAGTAAAATGACAATAAACATAATCGAAGATCTAATACATGCTCAAAAACTGGTTAATTGAGTAAAACTGGTTTCAGTTAAATAATATTTTATTTGTTTCTTAAATGTTTTCTTATAAGCGATGTGTTTATAATCATGTAATTTATTATACAGGGTGTCCCGTAAAGTATGTTACAAACTTTGGATGATGAGAGTACATAAAAAAATATGACTAAAAACTCTAATAAACATAACCTCTTAAACGCACCATTTTGAAGTTACAGACCTTCAAAGGTGCAACTATAAAAGTAGTTTTTATGACGTAACTCTTTGTTGGAAAAAGAAAACTTAATGAAATTTTCAGGGGCTAATCAGCTTTAGGAAATCAATAAATAATGCGGATATGAATAAAATCGAGAAAGCAGAAGGGTGTTTTTTTATCACCCTGTATCCTATTTTTTGCTAAAAAAAATTTTTCTGCAAAGGTACAGCAAGTATCATAAGATTTTTAGAAAGACCATTAAATTTAGAANTTGCTGTATCTTTGCAGAAAAACTTTTTTTGGCAAAAAATAGGATACAGGGTGATAAAAAAACACCCTTCCGCTTTCTCAATTTTATTGATATCCACATTATTTATTGGCTTCCTAAAGCTGACTAGTCTCTGAAAATTTCATTATGTTTTCTTTTTCCAACAAAGAGTTACGTCACAAAAACTACTTTTGTAGTTGCACCTTTTAAGGCCTATAACTTCAAAACGGTGCGTTTAAGAGGTTATGTTTATTAGAGTTTTTAGTCATATTTTTTTATGTACTATCACCACCCAAAGTTTGTAACATACTTTACGGGACACCCTGTATAATAATATTCCCATATATTTAGGACTCTTCATATTTTGTCAATTTGTGTAACGGAATCATAAGATTTTTACCTCCTCTGGTAGAATAATTATGATAGTGGTCTCTTGGTAAAAATAAATCCTTATTATCTCTTACATATAATAGGATTTGTAAAATGTAAACACATGGTAAAGTTATATTTTGTAATATTTTGAAAGTATTTCTACATGATGCACATCTGGACATTTCTAATATATTTTGAATAGCTCTCTTTTATATTTTAAATATTCTTTCTGAACTATGAGATGGACCCCAAAAAATTATACCATATGATGCTCTTGAAAAGAATTCTGCGTAATAAAATGATAAAACTGTTTGTATATTTGAAATTTTTGATAATTTGTAAAGTAACACGTAGAATATAGTTTATTTGCTAATATATTAATGTGTTTCCCAATTCAATGCACAATCAGTGGTAAGTCCTAAGAATTTAGTAGAATCTGACTGCTTAATAGATTTATTCTCTATTTTAATTAAACTACTCTTGTCGCGAACTGAATTTCTGTTAAAAATGTTAAATGCTAAAATAATCTGTTTAATTTGAAGCATTCAGCATATTTTGTGATAACTTTTTGTAAAAATGATAAAGCATCTATGCGATTATTTCCACAACACAAATATGAGTTATCATCAACAAACATTATTAAATTATTAGTAAAGTGGGTTGACAAATCATTGATAAAAATTAAACAAAAGTAACGGACCAAGTATGAAACCTTGAGGCACCCCAAGTTTTATATTTAGTTTTTCCGAAATAGATCCATTTACCGCAACTACCTGTGGTCTGTCACTGAGATAAGATATTACCCAATCTTTATCTTTTCCATGCAATCCATATTTTTCAAGTTTTTTAATTAAAAATTTCATGATCAATTAAATCCATGAACGAACCAACACACTTTAAATTTTCATTGAGTTTCTCATATAATTTTTCTACAAAAAACATGATTGCAGTTTGAGTAGAATGATTTTTCCGAAAACCATGTTGTGCTTCTGACAATATTTTCTATAAACTTTAAGATTCTATTAAAAACAACTCGTTCCAATATTTTAGATAGAGTCGATAAAAGTGCCACAGGTCTATAATTTCCCATTGAAGAGGATAGCATAATATATACAGGGTGGCCAAATGAAAACGAAACAGAGCCATGTTCAGGAACTTCGTCAAGATGTAGAAAATCGCTCAGACCCGTCGATTTTAGATTAAAGGGGGACATTCTTTGTAAAGCGAAATGATATCTACCCTTTCCGTAATGGAATAAACCATAATGTTTAATTTTCAAAAACACAATTAAATAAACTACCAACCAACACTTCCAAATAATACTAGAAAATAATTTGGAATCCACTAATTTTACGTTCATTGTGTGTGTATAGCATTTCATTTCTGATTTTTACAATTTTTTTTTTACGAAAGTGATAACAAATCGCCAAAAACCAATGTAACGTAAGAAATACTAAATTTATACCATTGGCGTACTTAACTCGAATGACATTTTTACCGTTACTAATTGTTTGTACATGAGTTTCAACTTTAAAATCAAAATTCTTAATAAGTATTGGGCGGAATTATAAAATTTAAAGTCTGTTGTAAAGAGAATTGTAAGAGCTTTCAAAAGAAATATTACTCAACCC